TTTTCTACGAAAAGAATGTATTAAGTCTGCCATGTGCACAGGTCCACCCGCCTTGGACAGAAAGGGGAGCAGAAGCCCTGCAGGCAGCTGCCCTCTTGAAGAAGACGGTTCAGCCCAGAGGAAGGGGTTTCCATAAGCCAAAGTCATCTCTTTTGCCAGGGTGTAGTCAAGGTGAAAACCCAACACACAATGTTAGCAAAGCACTCTGCAGTCACTGGGTAGCAAACACTGAATAAATCCCCTCAAAGACAGAAAAGCATAAAGATTTATTATTATTGTACTTATATAAATAAACACAGGCAGACTCTGGTGGGGATTCAATGCTTAGTTCAGAGTTTTTGGGGAAGGCCCTTTTCCTGGACATAATGCAAAGGGACAATTATAACTTCTATGTTGGCACATGTATTTGACATGTTTTGGGGTATACTAATGAGGTGAAGCTCCAGATCTCCAAGCTAAGCATGCATGTTTGTCCGGACGAGGAGTAGAAAAGAAATGCAAACAGTGGTATTCAGACATCATTTAGAAGACAGGAGTGAAGTAACTTTCAGCATTCAACTGCATAGGTACTTTTAAGCTATAACAAGTTTCCTGGCCTTTCTCCTGCTTCATATTATTCCATTCGGTTGTGCCTTAAGTTTTGCTGTATGCCCTGGGGGATATAGTCTCTGTCTGTAGACATCTATTCTATCCTGAAAACAAAAAGGGAAAGAAGTCTGATTCCTTTTTTGATTTTGCATCTGAATTCTCCAGCTTTGGATGGTTTCAATACAAACCAGAATACTGTAACACAGGTCTCTACATTGAAAGTTGCCAGATACTTTACAGAGGTAGGTCACTTTAAAGTTTGTATTAATTGCTTACAATCTAACATATTGTAGCTACAACTATTACTTTTGTATAACATCCTCTAATCAAATCAGGGTAAGTGGCAACCCTAGAGAAACAGAGTAATTTGACTGAACTTCTCTGTCTAGCTTTAGTCAAGACTCACCAGGTCTCCAAAGTAGGAAAACATAAAGTATAAATGGAATGAAACCCTAAGGGGGTAGAATACAAAACAAAAACTCTTTAGGTTTTTGTTCATTTGTGCTCCATGGTGTATAACCCCAGAGAACCAATAAATGCAGATGGAGCACAAAAAATATGAACTCACCTTAATGTTGCTTTTTTTTTTATAACTTCCACTAATCCAAATGTTTGCTTCACAAGTCATGTGTAAGAAAGAGTTTGCACAGTTTATATTCCCAGGATCCCATTATGGTAAAGCTCAAAACCAGTTCACTCAAGTATCAGTAAAACTGAAAGGAAAAAAAAGAGTCCAGATTTTCAGCTGATAATAAATCACTTTACGTCAAGCAAAAAAATCTCACCTCTGCTTTCCAGCTTAATGTTGTTTTTTTTATAACTTCCACTAATCCAAATGTTTGCTTCACAAGTCATGTGTAAGAAAGAGTTTGCACAGTTTATATTCCCAGGATCCCATTATGGTAAAGCTCAAAACCAGTTCACTCAAGTATCAGTAAAACTGAAAGGAAAAAAAAGAGTCCAGATTTTCAGCTGATAATAAATCACTTTACGTCAAGCAAAAAAATCTCACCTCTGCTTTCCAGTATTACTTATTGTAACAAGACTACAGAAATAAATATGGTAAATAGGGTATTAAATAGAAACATAAATTTTGGCCATCTAGATGCAGATGGCACAATGAAGATATGCATCAGATTGCTCAATCTGCCTCTACACAGCAGAAAGCTTCTGCATTGTCCCCTTACTACACATCACTCTCCCTAGCTTTCCCTTGCAAGAGAATTTCATGACCTAAACCAGCTTGGTGTCAGGAAGATTTATTTGGCGTATGCTTCTTTTGTATAATTATTCAATTATTACTCCTATAATGCATAGCATTATCTGGAATAATTCTTCACTACAACGGTGAACCTCCAAAGTAGCTTATGGTTCTTCTTATAATCCTCCCCTCACCCTACCTCCCTGTGAGATCTGAAAGGAGTATTAGTCATTCTACAGACAGAAATTTAGAAAGAAAGAAGTCCAACATTTCATAGAAAATCAGTGAGACCGCAAGAAACTGAACTCATGTTATAAAACCTAGATAGTACATCAGTACCATGAACCGTACATCACATTTCAGAAATAGCTAAGTGGGTTTTTCAGTCATATTAAATCTTCTGAGAACGGGTTTGCACCAAGGTGCAAGGTTGTATATTGCGGTGGAGGAGACAGATAAAACAAACAAACAAACAAATTTAAAAAACCCTCTTTTGGTCTCCTTGTTAGACAAGCATTAACAAACACAGCCACAACCAACTCTTTCAAAGCCCCTTTGTTAGAACTGAACCTGTTGGAACATAGCACGTATTCAGGTCCCTCACTTTGCCTTTCCCCTACTGCACCAACAGAAAGAGAAAATAATGAAAGTTGTTACGCAGCATTTGCATTTCTGCGTGTAGGAATTCTCCTAAAATAAAAATCCAGACAAACATCTAGAGACAGTTTATGCCAACCAAACAGTACAAGTGAATGAGAGATCTTATTATTACAATCATCCTCATGCTTTCAGTCATTTAGTTTTCTACTTTCTTGATCCTTTTGATGTCGTCTTCTCACTGCTTTTCAGTTATCAGACTCTTCCAGACTGCATAGGATCTAATTTTGTAGTGTAAAAAAGGGAGAATTAAACCTTTAGGTTTTTGCCACACACTAGTGAGAAAAAGAATGAGACAGCTACTCCTGCTGTCTAATGGCACAAATGCCATTTTTAGTAAGCTTTTAGGTCAGGATTAAAATTGCTTTTCAATTAGATTTTAAAGCGATATTATTAACTCTAATAGATCTACATCTACATGTAATATTAAGAACAGATACTAGTGACTGCAAGATCAAGCTTATGGCAATCAAGAGTTTATAGTCAACTCAAAAATTAACTTGGACTAAGGTACAACGTGATTTTAAAGCAATCAGTGGTGACTTAATCACAATCCCATGCACAGAAAGCATGTTTTAGAACACAAGGTTTTGATTCTTACGTCACATCCCATGCTCCCACACAACAAAACGTTCTAAATAAATCCATAAATTGGCATGTTTGGTGACCTGCAGCTTCCACGGTTCTCGAGCACCTTGATCCCACTGGAAAAGTCTAAAAATCTCTGAAGATGTGGACTACAACCTTAAGTAACTAGTATTGGTTATCAAAAACATATTTAAGGCCCGCCCCTTAAAAACCCAGATCCAGTTTAACTCCCACATTGAACTATGCAGGCTAAAATCCTTAATAGTGACTCCCAAAATTACCACTCCACACACAAAAATGCAAACCAAAACAAAACGAAACCCTACCAGGCTCCCAGTGTGGCAGTAAGGATATTTATACATGGGAAGTAAAGAAAATATATAAGCATTTGCAAAATCCTGGGCAATATTATCCTTAGACCTGGCTTTTATTTGCAAATCAAGTATGCACTTTAAAACCTAACAATGACTAAATACAGAGGAGATGACATTAAAATTCCACGCAGTGAGACTTCCTGCATATAACATAACAAAACACTTCTTTTGAAAACTCATTTTCAGTAATTTGAAAACTAATTTTCAGTGCTGCTGGTTTGCAATTCAGTACAGTTACAGAGATCGGATACACATCGTAGCAATAAGGTAGTGTCTCCAAAATGCAACAGCTCTGTAGAGCCAAACTGTGATATATATCCAAGAAGAAGAATCCATTGAGAAGTTTGCTTTTCCCCTTCCTCTTCTGCTGCACTAAGGAACAAAAGAGGCTAAATTTCTTCCTCTCTTCAAGAGAGCAGTAGCTATGAAGGTGTAAGCCCCCTAAAGGACTGACTCATACAAAACCACACTTAATTTCTTCCATGGCAGCTGTTCCTACGTCTTGGTACAGAGAGAGATTGCCCAGAGAGAGATACCACATCCATGAGGAAACATGGGTACATTAGGAAATGTTATCTGAGCAGACAGGTACTGAGATTCGCTCTACCGCACTAACACCTGCAATACGCACCACGTTACAATACACATAAAAAGCTGGATATATCCGGAAAGGGAGGAAAAGCACAAGGACAGGCAACACAGCAGATGGCCCTTTCTAGTGTCACTGGAAGCAATGGTGAGCACATTTGTATAAACCAATTTCTTGTCTAAGTTAGACGAGCTGAATAGATACAGGTGAGTTTAGGCATTGGCCATTATTAAGGAAAATCAAAATCATCTCACTACCACTTAACTTCTGAATGAAAGGCACAGCATGAAGATTTCCAGCCAGAGGTTATCTGCGTTGGCTTTACACCTCCAGGTCATTTGGTTTTTATAGACATTCTTTGTAGACAGGGAGAGGGAAAGGTCTTCCTAAACAAGACAACATGGGGAAACCACAGTGGTTCTGCGCTGAAGGGACGAGCACTGAGAGTTGGGGAGCCACAGGAAAAAAAGCATAAGGAAAATGAATGTGAATTTTACAGGGGGAATAGACGTCTCTTTTACGAGGCCCTCATAGAGGGAAGGGTAAAATGAGACCAGGCTGTCACTGCTTTCCTAATTGCAGAGGTGCTGCCTCAAAGGGGAGAAAACATCCATTAGCAACTTCTTGTGAAACATCCCCAAAAGCAGCACACGAGGGCTCGTACCTCCCTTTATGCGTAATTCATCTGATAATGGCTAAAATTTATTAATAGCAATTTTAAACACTGATGTAGCGAGATAGCTTTTCTAAACGGGGATCAAAGACAAACGCTTTGGAAACTCAACAGGCCATAACTGCAGAGAGAGGGAGAGAAAAGCGCAGGGAAACAGGCCAGAGTAACAAGTGTGAGCCGGATTTGCTTTGCCTGCAAGTATTTCCTAAGGGCATCGCCTCCAGCTCGACTGGGCCAGCGGGACGGGAGGAGCGGCGGGGCGGGGGCTGCCCGCCGGCGCTCCCTGAGGGGAGAAGCGTTTGGACGTGGGGCATGATAAACGGAGAGATGAACATCTCCGCAACACATTTTATTTACACGAAATCAACTCGGGGCATTGTACATTATATACAGATATTTTCCCCCTCCAACAAGGCAGAGCTTGTGCAAGATTAGTAGCATCCTCTGGAGCGTATCCGACAGTCCACGGGAAATGTCCCCCCTGCGAGGTATCAGCTGTCGGAGTCCAAGTCACTTTTCCCTTCCTCCTGTCTCTTCTCCGGAGACGTTTTAGACGCTTTATTCCATTTTTGTGCGTTTTCTGACTCCTCCGAAGACGATCGCTTTTGCCTCCTCCACTTTGCCCGCCGGTTTTTGAACCAAACCTGTTACGTTAAGAAATTAAATTATTAGGGAGAAAAAAATAAAAATAAAAATACGCAAACCCGCAGACTGACCTCCACAATGCGGAGCCCTGCCTCGCCCGGAG